CCGCCCGGGCTCTCCAGCCGCTGGCCCACCCCGGCGGGGCTCACGCCGACCCCCATGCCCACCCCGACTCCGGCGGGGCCTCCTCCTGCCGAGCCGGCGCTGAGCAGCCCCCCGGCCAGCGAGTACTTGTCCTTCTTGAGCAGGGTCTTGGTCTTCCTCCGGGGCCGGTATTTATAATCCGGGTGCTCCTTCATGTGCAGCGCCCGCAGCCGCTTGGCTTCGTCGATGAAGGGTCTTTTCTCGGCCTCGGACATGACTTTCCACTCGGCCCCCAGGCGCTTGCTGATCTCCGAGTTGTGCATCTTGGGATTCTCCTGGGCCATCTTCCGCCGCTGGCCCCGCGACCACACCATGAAGGCGTTCATGGGCCGCTTGACCCGGTCTTGGTTCGCTTTGTCCCCGCCGCCGCCGCCTCCTCCGCCTCCGCCACCTCCAGCTCCGGTCTGGCCCGTGAGGTTGGTGGGGCCCTGGGCTCCGCCGGGGGAGTGCAAGTCCGTTTCCATCATCATGCTGTACATTCAAGTAGCTTTTTATTTTCCACCGGCACCACGCATAAAAATATCAAACATAGAGGAGCCCAGAGGGAAGGGACGAGAAAAGGGAAACGTAAAAACAAAAAAAGCACCACCGGCAACACCGTAGGCAAAAAAAAAAAAAAATCTCCTTTGCAAACCACTTTCAGGGCTTGTTGCTGGCGAGCTGGATTCAAGCCGCTCAAACAGGTGCAGGGCAAACTTGCTGCTTCACTTTGCAAGGAGGAGGAGTGTGTAGAGCACTCAGAAATGTCCTTCCCTCTCTCTCCCATGCACACACGCACACCCCTCCTCTCGCTCTCTCCCTCACTCCCTTATTCTGAGCAGATCTGCTTTTTTGGTTGTTGTTCTTTGCTAACTTCTGGTGTGACTTGCACCCGCTGCTCCCAGGTGAACAGAGCAGAGGAGAGAGAGAGGAAAAGCCACCGAAAAAAAGTAATTAAACGATCACTAAAAAGAGGGAGCGGGAGAGAGGAGAAGAAAGAAAATAGGAGGGGGAGGAAAAAAACCCCAGAGCCAGAGAGAAGTTGCACAGTAATTTGTTCTCTGTGGTTTCCCTCCTCTTGCCCGGGAGGAATCAGGAGAGGAGGAGCTGGCGAGAGACACACAGAGAGAGGAGTCCAGCAGCCATACACCGCGCACCGAACTGGGATTAAATGAGTTTGCCGTGGCCAATCGGAAGGCGGCGGCGGGGGATTATTTGCATGGCGCGCTGAGGAGTGACGTCCGGAGGTGAGAAGTATAAACTATTCTGGGGGGTGGAGAGAGGCAGCTGGGAGGGGCCAAAGAAGGGGTCACGGCTACCCTGCTTTGCCCTGCTAGGTAAAGAGGAATTAATAGCAATTAAATACCATTATAACCATGCAACAGTGGGAAAAAAAAACCCTCGCTCGAAACACTTCGAGTGCCACATAGCTTTGGAAAAGTCAGGCAGTGACAAAGTTGTAGATGGCATTCTTAACGGTGGCAGGTGCGTGTGTGTCAGGACTACACCAGGGTGCGTGGGGGAGACATGACATGTTTTCTCTGGCACGGTTTAGCGTGCGTGCGTATGTATTCACTGGAGAGCCGCAGAAACACACCATCTACATTCCTGAGCCTTAGCCTTACATTTCAATCTTCTGTCAGTCTGCCTGTCTTTAGAGATCATGCGCTTCCTTCCATTCTCACTGAACTTTCCCCCACTCCTTTTAAAAGACGAGAGTGGTGAAATGTTCGAGGGAGCCTATATCATTTTAATACAGTTGCCCGATAGACCTTTTAATCAATTGAGTACAGTACATCCGTGTGGACTCCGTTGTTTAAAATCTGTGCTATTGACTTCCAGCGCAACAACTTCGCAGCAGCCGTACCAGTGGTTTGTACATAGTAGCACTTTTCGGTAGGGAGTCCATAACTCGATGGTTACTATGTTAAATGAAGAGCTGAAAAGAGAATGGCCCTACCCAGCACCCCTTACTCAGAGAAATCTCCAACTGCTAGATCAGCACAGGTCTTCGAATTGAGTGGCAGAGATAAGCATTGTTCCTAAGGAGTTATATCTGCTGCAGCACTGCTTGAATGATGACTCGGGCCATAAATGTTCCTACACAAGTTATGACAAGGCTATTCCAACTACTAAAAACTAACAAAGGCCTCATTGCTACTGTTATATTTTTAGACATAGGGATGTTAAAGTACCTGAGACTCCCTAAATGTATAATAAACTTCTTGCATTTCTATAAAGTAAATACGGGCCTGTCAATTCTATGTGAAAACGTTAAAAGGGCACATTTTTGGTTCCCTGGCTGACCAGTGAGACAGATTACAGCGAGTTTGTATTGCGGTGCAAATAAGGGTGAATAACGAACGTGATGATATAATCTTCAATGTAGTCCCGCGAAGCCCATTCTACACTACAAAGAACAGTATATGAATCATGATCATAATAATGTTCCAACGGGTGGGGGAAATGGACACCTAGCATCCCTTCTTTTTCTCCCGCTTCATGTACGTGTTATTTCTCCTGACCTGAAGTGCAGGAATAACACCAGACACCCCCCTCACTGTAGAACTTTTATACAGGGGTGTTTTACAAGGCAACAGTATGATGCTCTATGTCCAGATGAAACCATTTTCATTTTAGATTACTCGACATTAAACAGTAATCTCCACACCTTCATTTCGGTTAATTTAGAAGAAGAATGTTACTTTACATAACATTTTCATTCACTATGGGAGGCCGGCTCCTGATCCCGCTATATTCAATGAATTTTGCCATTGGGTTCAGTGAGAGCAGGATCAAGGCGCTATTTTGCAATCTGCTGTTTGGGTTTTTGAAGCAAAACTTCCCTTAAAGTTATCAGTGAAATCAATGGGAGATGTAGTTACCTGAAGGTTTTAGGATCAGGCCCTCAGTGGTTTAGTAGCCTGTTTGTAGGGCCAAACAAGCCAAACACTTTAGTTGTTTAATAATGTTACCAGTAGCTATGTGTATGTGAATTCTTCAAACGTTTATATACATATATATAGGCAACGATTTCTAAGAAATTGTAACTGTTTACACTTAACGACCTAACGATACTTTACTTCTGAGATTTTAAAATAACCAAAGACCCGAAAGTAAATTTTACCAGACGGCTTTGGTGCAATCTTTCCCATAGGAATCCGACAGATTGCTTAACAGTATCCTGAGATCTAACGGTTCATCACAGGAAGAAGTTACAATCCTTGAAACTGAGAGAACTGACTTTGACTCAGTACAGAGTTGTTGTTTTTTCCTATCAACCCTATCCCCACGAATTGTTTCTAAATTATGACAGTGCCCTTTGTTCCCCCCTGCATGTCAACCGACGGTAGACCTGTGTCCTTGAATGACTGAGCTATTGAAAGTGTTCGTAGCTTCCGCAATAAACTTTGTGCGGTTTAGGCGCCTGTGGCCGAGTGACAGGCACTCTGGGTGTTTGCATTTCTGAGCGTTACACTCAACCTGCAGGTGTAACTTGTTGCCAAGTGACAGCTGACTGACAGCTGCCGCGCGTGCCAATCAGGCAGCAGCAGGGCACCCGATGCCAAGACGCCGAGCCTGGCAAGGGGAGAAGAAAAACCATACACCGGCTCATCCATAATCTTTCTACTTTCTCGGGAAGTCATGCCGCCCCCCCCCCCCCGGGAAAAAAG